CAAATCTAAAAGGATAAAATATTCCAGTTTTATATATTCTTGATTTTTTTTGTTTTCTACTTTCTACTTTTTTTTTACTTTTCACTTATCACTTAACCATATTAACAAATAATATAGACAGTTCAAATGGACGATTTGGTTACGGTTTATACTTCAAAACACTTCTTAAGAGGGTGTCTGCATAAACTCAAACCGTGGCGCTGTGGCCGTTGGCTTAAAACCAAAGTATAAGTGTGCAAGATGCACTACTAGCGCTGTGCAATCATATTTTATCGAACTTTGATAAGGGTAATAAAGTTATCTGTTTGTTTTTTGACTTAGCACGAGCTTTTGAAACTGTAAATTATCCAATACTGCTGGAAAAACTTTATCATAGTGGTGTTAGAGGAACTGCGTTAAAGTGGATCCACACCTTTTTATCGAAAAGGTTTCAAAAAATTAGGGTCAATGTGGGAATATAATATTTTCTTCACAAGAAAGTGTCCTCTCCGGAGTTCCACAGGAAAGTATCATTGGTTCCCTTTTATTTTTGATTTTCGTCAATGATTTAAATCAACTGATAAACGATAGATCAACATGTTTGGTTCAGAATCCATTAGATAATATTTCTGATGCAATAAGCGTTCGAGTAGAAAACGTGGAACAGCAATCAGGCTGTTATGTCACTCAATTTGCTGACGATACCACAGTTGCACAAAATTCCAATAATTTTTTTCATGTAGTACAAAAAACAAACTGTCTTGTAAAAAGTATGACTCATTACTGTTTAAATACTGCCCTAATCTTAAATGGACCAAAGACCAATATGGTAACCTTTTCACCTTCTACTATGGAGATAAGTCCATTACTAAAACTTGACAATGGGTCTGTGGTAAATAGCTACTCCACTAAGTTGTTAGGTATTTACCTGGATTCTAGTTTGGCTTGGAGCTCTCACGTTAACCTACATATGTCAAATTTACCTCTAAAATCTAATAGATAAAATAAAAAAACTCATTGTCTCCAAGACTGAGATGTAGTGCATAAAAGTCCTTCCCCCTTTTTAAATTTAATGTTTGTTTCGTCCCTTCTAACACATTTCATAAATATATCTCTTGAATAAGTATAAATAACTTTTAAATAATACAATGGTATATAACATCACTTTCATCTAACAAACAATCACATTACACCTATCTCTACTTCATTGGATCAAATCTATCTCCTCAAGAACTTCCCGTTTATTGTCAAACAACTACAATAGCAGACTTAAGTTCTCCATTCAACAATACATGATAGTTTGAACCATGTTCTACCATCCATCAATTAATGGAGTACCGGCATGTAAGTAATGTTGTATTTATTTGCTCATTTATTAATTTATTACAATCTAATAGACTATTTTATAACAATTTGTGGGTCTTACCTTGTCTGTTAAAACTTTTTATACCTTTTTATTCCTTTTTATTCATTTTGAAAAACCACAGACATGTAATATTGGCATAATTATTTTAATTTTATAACATCTATTTTGTTTATCTTTATTAGACAACACCCTAATATGGGTTTATTATTATTTCAGCATTTATTTAACTTTGTATCGAGACCTGAAGATGCTTTGCATATTGTAGAAAGCGAAACCGGTCATCTGAATAGTTAAATTAAATTGATTGTGAGTAAGTCTTATTTATTATTTCTTTACCTACCTAAAAGAAATAAGAATACGCATTGAAAAAGCCAGAGCCGCCTTCTATAACATTAAAGTAAATTCTAATTAATATAGATATTACGTTAAACTTATAATATCAGATTAATACGTGCTACATATTCTCCACATTGCTGTATGGTATGGAGAGTTGGACCCTTACAGATATTGAAAAATTAGATTTGATATATATCGACGAGTATCGATAATTTGGGTAGATCGAATAAGAAATGAAATAGTTTTGCATCGAATGAAAAAGAGCACAGAAATTAAAAAATCGATAAAAATTCCAAAGTTACAATATTTCTGTCATCTAATGAGACATCCAGAGAGGTATAACCTTCTACACCTCATAATACAGGGTAAGATCGCCGGAAAGAGAGGCCCAGGCCGACGATCAATATCCTGGCTCCGAAATCTCCGAGAATGGTATCAAAAGACCACCGCTAAATTATTTAGAGCCGCCGTAAACAAAGTTATTATTGCCAATATGATCGCCAACATTCGATAATCGGACAGGGTGGTACTGAAAGAAAAGGAAGATAGTTTTTACTGATCATATATTGTATTTTGACGCACATCAATACTGGGAAAAGTCAAATGAAATAAAAAATATTGATTGATTGATTGATAATATATCTTACTGTACCACTTTTTTCATTTTGTCATCCTAAATAATAGTTTCAAAGAAAACTACTTTTTGTCAATTAAAATAATTTTATTTAATACTCATAAAACTTTCGGCAATAAGTTATGGTGATACAACATCTTTTTCAGGATGTTCAAGTTCTTCGGGGAATCTATCAGTAAACTGATTCAGCCCCGCTTTCCATGTTACTTCCCCAGCTTCGTACTTTTTGTTGTGTTCTATGATCTTTTCGTAGTTTTTCTTAAATACTTCGAACCTCTTGGCGTCTTCCTCGGCGTCGTATGATCTGTTCTGATCTTGCTGTAAAATAATAAAACAAGTTACTTCGTAGGTGTCAAAATAGCTTTGTGTGCATAAATATGCAGTGCTAGTCAAAAGTCCATTCCCCCCTCGTATCTTTTGAACAGATATTGTTATAATAGTGAAATTTTGAGGGAGGTAATACACAGACGTATTCTTCTTAACTAGTCATAACAAGTGACATAATGGTGACAGATGACGTTACAGGGCCACTGTGACAGATAATTTTAAATAGGACCTTATAGCAAGCGATACCTCGTTTGAAAGGTATTGAAAATACCTTAGACCATTAAAGCTTATAGACATACCATTAAATTAAATGTCACCATTAAATTTAACATGTTAATTTCCCCAACAAAGACAAAATGCATGGTTACAACAGTAAATTTACTAAGATGTAAATTGGAGCTGGAAGGTCAGATAATAGAACAAGTGATGGAGTTTAAATATCTAGACATCACATTATCTAGCTAAGGAAAGCTCAAAACAGAAGTGGAAGATCCAGTGAATAGGGCAACCAGAGCCGCAGGTTTCCTGAATGAAACAATATAGAGAAATAAAAATATCGGAAAAGAAACGAAAGGCAGAATTTACAAAACAGTCATCAGACCAATAATGACATACGCGGCAGAAACAAGACCTGACACAGAGAGAACAAAAAGGATGTTCTCAAGGTGGAGAACATCAAACACTGGGTAAGAAATAGAAAAGTAGAATGGAACGATCATATAAGCCGAATGACAACAATTAGAGCAGTAAAGACGGCAAGAGAAGGTTCCCCAATAGGAAGACGATTAGTAGGAAGACCATGAAAACGATGGAATGACAACTTTCTTGAGGCACATTGAAAAACAGACAGAGTCATGTCTATATAAAAAGAAGAAGAAAAAGAAGAGAACTTTGTAGTAGCTCCGGCCGATAATATAAAACCTAAACCTCTTACTGAGGAACAGCTTTAGCATATTGAGTTTGTGTATAAATAGATGCCACTGGAAGATCAGAATTACATGAAATGTTTTATTTCTGAAACGAAACAGTTTAACAGATAATAAAAAGTAATTTTCTACTATTCGTTAATTTTCTTTTTCCTATGTTTTTAAAAATTCTTCCAACATCATTGGCTATAGGCTATTATTGTTATCAGTACTACAAAGGCATAATGATGCCATATTTTTAAAACTTCAAATTTATTTAGGGACACAAAGTTCCCGGAGCACAGTAGTTCGCTCCCAAGGTCACTCTTAATTACCTACATACTATACCGTGGCCACAGTATAAAGAGACAGTGGCCGCTTAAAACATGGAATCCAAGGTCGCATGATCACTGAATGCAAACATCGACAGGCGCTCAAAACTAGACCTTCCGAGAAACTGTTTACACCGTCATTATGTGTGTCATGATACTATAACTTAAATGTTTTATGTATCATGATTTGTGTTTCACTTCCTCTGGCTGGTGAATTTTGTGAAAATATTTAAATTTAATGTAAATCAACAACCTGTAAAAAACGGTATAAATATATTATAGCATGATTGTTAGTTCGTTTTTGTTGAGCGGTGTAAACGTGAGAAAAGTGATAACACAGGGAGAGGAATATTTAAGAGCGGTATAAATATATTATAGCATGATTGTTAGTTCGTTTTTGTTGAGCGGTGTAAACGTGAGAAAAGTGATAACACAGGGAGAGGAATATTTAAGAGCGCGTGACATTCACGTGGTCATTCCATCTTTTCAGCGGCTCAACTATATTATAGTTTAGTTTATTCGTCTTCCGGGTTTGGACCGTGTCATTTGTGAGTGACCCAAAAGTGGGTTCATCTCGACGTTTCGCTACAATTGTATGTAGCTTCTTCAGGAGAACAAAGAAAAGGAAATCAAAAGACAGGAAGATGGGTAGTTAGCAACGGTAACTCAGTTACTCAACGCAACCAGAGGCGAATACTAACTACCAAGATGGGCATTTGGTCACAGTAACTCAACTACTTAACGCAGCCAGAGGTGAAAACCAAATGCCAGGACAGGGATTCACGTCCAACAGCTCAGAACACTAACGCGTCGAGAGGCGGGGAGTGAATCCCGAACCATAACCTAGTTCGCTCTCGTGGTCAAGCAGATTAAGTATTTATCTATTAAGTTCTAGGAAAATTAACACCAGGAAAATAGGTACTGCGGCTTTTGTATTTTATATTAGAAATTATATCAAATATTGGTAGTTATATATTTATATAAATACAGTGATAAGCGTGCTAATAATTGGCAAAACAACGCAAACGATGGAAAACGTATGAAGTTGTAAGAGAAAAGAGATGAAGCTAGTTGATATGAGAAATTTAGCGATAGAAACCTTAAATTTACATTCTATTCACTCTTTGCCAGCTTAAGACGTATCAGAGGAGGATATCAACTAAAACTGTCACTGTCACAGCGGTAGTTTCCAAACTCTTACGTCTAAAGGTGGGAAACAATAAATGAAATGTAAGTTTATTGGTTCTATCGCTAAATTTCCCATCTCCACTAGTTTCATTTCTATTTATCTCACAACTTAATATGGTTTCCATCTTTTGCGTTATTTTGCCGGTTATTAGCGCGCTCATTACTGACTATTATGTATTTTGAAAAATGTTAGTGAAATTATATTAGAAATTTTGAATTGTTTTTAAAAATTACTGAAATAATTTTTGTGCCTATTCTAAACTATAGGTATAATAAGAAAGCAATACAAGTGTAAAAACTAACATAATATGGGATATTCTCTACCATTACAAAATTAAACAAATATAAATTAAAACGAGGCATTTATTTCCCTAGAAATCTAAATGAAATACATTTGACAAAATCAAATCTACTAATTTTATTTTGCTTTAATTCCGCTATTTTCGGTACACTTTTTTTGGTTTTACAAAACTTCGTATTTTTATATTTGAGTGTCAATTTGAATATCTTTTAAAACTTCTAAAAATTGAAATATATTAGGATGCGAATTGTAAAATAACGAATAAATTTAGAATGGAAACTTTCAAAGGCATTGGTTGTACGCTCAAGTGATGAACTGTTTTCCGCCCACATCTCAGGAAGGAAGTCTGCATCTTAAGGAATATAGTTGTCTACCAAGTAGTCAGCAAATTGTTGTACGGCTTGGTGTTCTGCTGGAAATATTTCACTAAAGCCTAAAGCAAAACACTCACCTACTTCTAATGGATCTAGGGAAGGTAGACCAAACATATATCTAAGGTATTGTCCGACTTCATTGTAGTTTGAATACTCAGTAGCCAGAACACCTTTTTGAATTTTTCTCCACCATGATTGTCCAAGATAAAATCTACATCCTTTTATTTTCGCAGATAGAAACACTTCACTTACAGCTGCATGGATCGCCTTTTCGAAATCGGCATACACAACCTTGGGACTAAAATTTAAGTTCAATTTTTGACACTCCGTCTTTAAACAAATAAAGGCAGTCACATATGAGTTTGTTAACTTATTTGAAAGCAAAAAGAATGCCAACGGCACATAGTTTCCATTTTCGAGTCCGTGAACCGTAAATAGTTAAATAAAAAATTTAGTGCAGTATTTAAAAGTTCCATCAACATAAATTGTTTCTAATTTACTTAAAAATGTTAAGTTAGATACACAAGAAAAAGCAACAAATTTTTATACCGGATTCATCATCATCAATGGTGCTACAGCCCTATGAAAGAGCCTCGACCTTCCCAAGTCTATTACGCCAGGCAGTCCTATCCATTGCCAACCGTTGCCAGTTTGCTGCGCCTATCTTTCTACCATCCTCATCTACACCATCCTTCCATCTGAGTTTTGGCCTACCCCTTTTTCTGCTTCCCACGGGTTGTGACATAAGGATTATTTTTTAATAAAAATTGTTCTTTTTGGTTGGTTGTCACTTCCACGGAGTTTAACGAGTCATGTACTTCCGCGCGCACTTCGGAATTTTGGTAATAACTTGTTTTCTGCCATTATAAATATTTTTTCTAATCAAATGTACATCTTCCACAGTAAGACTTTTAGTGCCTGTTTGCTTAATTTCGCTGGGTATCAACTTCAATAGTTTTTCACACAAATCACCCATTGCCTTCCGCTTAACACTATTCCTTAATTTTTGCTGGTTTAACACTGTTTTTGATAAACTTTCAAGGGTATAGTTATGACTACATTCGACTACACTGTTACAAATATTTTAAGTTTTAACAAATGCTTTGCAATTTCTTTCTACACACTGCCAACGTTTGATATTATAAGCAATCATTTTATGGAAGTTATACTTGTAATTGTCAATAACTAACATTAACTTGCCCTTTTCACTTAATATTTCACTTATTTTAGATTTCTCCGTCATGAAATAGGTATAACGACATTCAAACTGGAACTAAAGTAATAATGTTCAGATTCGCACTACCCCTATTTCTTATCATAGAATTTTAAGTAGACTACTAATTACCTACCAATCTTTTCAAATCAATTGCAACTTCTGATACGGAAAAACCCAATCAAATATTGAATAAGGGAATATGAGCTCTAACATCATAATACTTTTATATCATAATAATTTTAATATTTTTTTAAGTAAGAAGTAGTGTTATATAGTAGCATTGTTTAAAAAAGACTCATTCCTTTTTAAACAATGATGGTAATATTGTATTAATAGGTAAATACAAAGTTTGAGAAGACATTATTTAAATATCTTTTCTAAGAAATATATGGCCGGAGCGAATTTACCTATGCCTAGGGTGACCATATGTACTTTTTTTAGTAGGACAGTACTTTCTTTTCAAACGCTGTCCTATTGTACTTTAAAATTTATGAAGTACACCTACATGTACTCTTTTTCTTAGTTACACAAAATTAAGTCCTACTTTTTGTCCAAACAAAATATAATTATGATTCGAATTGATGCGCTCACTGTTGATTAGTCTATTAACCTTTTGTCTTAAATTCCGACAATTTTTCTCGTTTTTTATATTATTTTGTGCTGTGTGGAAAATAAACAATTTCATCATGTCACCGCCTAGAAGAAAATGCCATTTTAACGTCGAGTTGCAAGCAGAGTATCCTTTTATGAAACAAAAATCAAATGTTTCACCGCATGTTGTGTTTTGCCAAGTTTGTAAAAGTGATATTGATATTTCTAACAGTGGTCGCAGTAATATCAAACAACATTTGTCAAAGAAAAAACACATGTTGGCTACTAATGCGAACTCGAAGAGCAGCAAATTGGAAAACTGTGTTAAAGAAGAAAATTTAAGTTCTGAAAATATGTTGATTGCTGCCAAGGAAGGTACTTTTGCTTACCATACAATTGAGCATTTGCAAAGTTTCAGATCCTTAGACTGCACGTCAAAACTAATTGTAAGCATGTTTGAACCTAAATTTGCGGCAGCTCGAACCAAGACTGAGGCGATTGTAAAAAATGTTTTAGCTCAAGAGGCTCACCCACTTAGAAATTGACCTTCGAAAAGCAAATTTCGTCAGCATCACAATCGATTCGTCGAATCATAGAGAAATTAAAGTTGTGCCCTTAATGGTAAGATATTTTGATGGAGAAAATGGTGTCCAAGTAAAATTACTTCAGCTACGTGACTTACCTGGTGAAACATCAGAGCAGTTAAAAGCTTACGTGGTCAATGTTTTGAATCACCATAATCTACTACAAAAATTCATCGGAATGTCTGCTGATAATACAAATACAAATTTTGGTGGAATGAGAAAAAAAGGAGTGAATAATCTATTCAGCAAATTAAATGCTTCTCGTGGTAAACCCGTGATTGGAATTGGTTGTCTGGTACACATTTTTAATAACTGTTTACAAAATGCGACGGTCGTCTTACCCATAGACATCGAGGTTATTGCGGTCAAGATTTTTAAGTATTTCTATATTTTTACAGTCAGAGTGGAGAAATTAAAACAGTTTTGCGATTTTGTTGATATCGAGTACAAAAAATGTTGTCGTTTTCAAAAACAAGATTTTTGAGCCTAATGCCAGCCATTGAACCAATTATACAAATGTTCGAACCCTTGAAAGCATATTTTTTGTCGATTGATAATTGTCCAACAGTTCTAAAACAGTTTTTTCAAAACCCAATCAGTGAAGCATGGATGTGGTTTGTGCATAACATTGCGTCTCCCTTCCACAAAGTGATTTTAGATGTAGAAGGTGACAAAATATGCGCAACGGAAGCCGCTTTGGATTATTTCGAACTCATAAATAAGCTTCAAAATCGCTTAAATAAGTTATTTTTACCGCTTAAAGTAAGAGAGTCCCTTTCAAAACTGGAAAATATGGACCTTGACCTTAGTGTGAACTATCGGGATATCTTTATCACGCATGTCAAGCAGTTCTATTCAAATTGTGTAATATATTTGAAAAACTGAGTGAAAATTTAAGTGAACTAAAGCTATTTGGATGAGTTAACTTGAAAAAACAAGATTCTTGGGCTGAAATTTTATCGTCGTGTGAGGCTTTCAAAGACTACGTAGGTCCGATATTGAATCAGGACGAACTGTTTGATGAAGTTAGTCTAATACGAACCTACGTTACAGAAAATAAAATCACAGACTGGAATTCGAACAATATTTCTACCGAAGATCGATGGCTCGAAATCTTCCAAAAAGAAAGGGCTTTGAAAAATCTCAAAATTCTATGTGAGTTTGTTTTTTGTCTGCCGGGACCAGTGCGTCGATTGAGCGGTTGTTCTCAAATATCAATAACTATTGGAGTCCCAACAAATCGCAGTTGAAAATATCTACTCTGGAAGCAATCATGCAAGTCTACACAAACTTCAAAGTTTCGTGTAATGAAATGTTTCAGTTCTTAAAGAGTAAACCAAAACTTCTGAAGGAAATTCATAGTTCCAAAAAGTACGACTGGTACGAAAATGATGATCAAGATGTTCAGAAAGGAACGTCGAAAGAAAATTAACTATTAAAATTTATCATACATTTTTTATGTACTTATGTTTGATTAAAAAAATCGCTCTTATCATTGTTTTATTAAAGATTCGTAAAATTTTGACTAGGGCACTAGCAGTGTACATATTTTCTTAAAAATTATAAATGTACTTTTTTTTGTTGAAAAATTATGGTCACCCTACCTATGCCCCTTTTCTGTGGGGTATTAAAATCTGACCGCAGGAGCGAACTAGTATACACCCAAAGTTCCAAGTACAGCAGTTAGAGTGCCATAAGGTTCCAAGTACAAGTGTGACATTTTGAAAAAACTATGAAATTTGCATTTTATACCACAACGACAGAATTGCTTTATGAATTGCTGTATTACCAAATCCTTAAACAATAATATATATCTGGCAAAGTATAATTTTGTCAGAACCGTTTTATTTGACAGCAAACTTTAAAATTCGTTTCCTGACAAATTTTGTAAATGTCGCTTGTAACCCTGTAGTTCTCAGCCCTCGATATATCGGTATGAGCTCCAATAGATGGTGTGAGATGAGTAGAATAGAATCAAATTATTTTCCAAGCATATCATAACAATAATAATGAATAATTACCTTGTATTTTGGCCACGCTTCTTCAGCAGTTTCTTCCGCCATTGCTATTGCAACGAACAAAGCAAATAAAAATATTTTACAAAGCATTGTTACCAACCACCAGATACTGATAATCAATTACACTAGTATTTTAGGCAAGTTGGTGTAACTAATAATTCCAAAAGTAGCTGTTGTGACTTTTATATACGCTGTCTGATATTGTGGGTTTAATTAAACTACGTCCATAAAAATATGAAATAATTGGAATTATGACACGGTGATAATTGGTTATGTTTATCTATAGATCATCTATCATCTCGTGGTTCAATTTTCAGCAAAAACAAGAATAGCGATGCAACTTTTTGCAATCGATTCGGGAGTGTATGAGGTATGTTTGTTAATAGAATTGATACCCGGGAGATGAAAATTGCATTTTGCGCATAAGGAAAATACATTTCTATCTTAAAAATGAAAAATTTGGAACTCGGAAAATATTGAGAGGTCGCTGAACACAAATATTATGATGCCGATATTCTACGAGGTCCTGGTTCCAAGGGTGGATTTTTTTTTTTTGTTTTAGGATTAGTTTATGCACCCAGAGAAAAGTATGAACACACTTTTCTCACCCAGGCGTCGAAAATATTTAAGGTTACAAGCCTAAAGTAGATATTCCACAATTTAATTTTAGACTGATATATGAAAAATAAAAAAAAAATCTAAAACATAAATAAAATGCAAAACAAATCTAGCTTATAATCCGTTCACAAATTGTTGAGAGCACGAAATGTGCCTCAAAGTCATAAAACGGTCGTAAAATTTGTATCATCATAGGCGTTCCTGAGGTGTTTATTCATTAAAATTAATGCGTTTTACATTTATTTTCCTTTCAAAAATGTTTATCAATATTAATAATGTTTTGATACTATAGTTTATTTTTATGAACGAGAGAGTAATTAGCATAATTTTAACTGGTACTTCCGACCACTCCATGGGCGTGCTCAAGATTAATTGAAAAATTACTTTGAATAATTGTAAAAAATAAATGAATTATTTCAGTGTTATAAAGTGTTATGTGTATGTAAACAAAAGTGACCTCTTTTATCACACACTATATTAGAACTGACTGGCCTACATTAAAAAGGGTTTTAAAAAATTCACATTTTTTTTAATTTTTAAAAATTACAAAAGAGAAAAAGAGTTTTTAAAACCGTCTAAGGTATGTTAAATAGATGAATAAAAATATTAATATAAAACTTACAGCTACTTGTTACAAATCCAAATCAGATTCAGAAGATGAACTTTCAGAACCAAGATTTATAAACTGGCTCGATCATTTTATCAGTAATATTGTCCAGCTTCCACATTTTTTCCTCTTCTTTAATAGTGTGATTTACTGCCTTTTCCAGTTTTCAGGTTTTACATTATTTACGGCCTGCAAAAATAACTGTTTAACATCATGAATTTTAAAAGTGGTATTTTTTCTTGTAACTTCACTCTTTATCTGTGCCCATACCAGTTCAATCGGGTTTAATCCACAATGATATGGTGGGGATCTAAGTACTGTCATTCCACGATTTTTGGCAATTTCATCAATTTCGTATTTTTTAAATTTTTCTTTATGAAGGGCACACAACGAATAAAGTTCCTTTCTTATAGATCCGGATGGTACGTAATATTTTTTGAACTCAGCCAATTCTGCAAGTCTTGTTTTAACCACTTGGTTGTGGGCAGTCCTTCTATAAGTCTGGAGTGATAACTTGCATTATCCATTACTATTACACAGGTCTTAGGAAGAAGATCTATCATTTATTCGAACCATTCTTGAAAGACATCAGCGTTCATGTCTTCATGGTAGTCACCGGTACGAGTTGATTCAAAAGATAATAAACCACCTTCAACAAAACCGTCTGAACTGCCAATGTGTACTATTATCAGCCTGCGTCCCTTTCCTGATGGTAGGTTTAAACCAGTAGATAAGTTATTTACAAAAGCGTGCCTTTGACTTGTAACAGTTTCATCCTGCCAAAATTTATTTGGTGTATGACCCTCGTTGATCCATGTTTCATCAAGATAAAATATTTTTCTTTTTTGGTTTCTCATTTCCTTTATGGTTCTTAGAAAATGTCTTCTCCATATGATAATATCGCTTCTTTCTAATAAAATAAACTTTCTGGATTCTTTTTCCAGCGGAAGCCTATTTCTTTTAAAAGTTTCCATAACGTACTTCGACTCATTTCTGGGTAATCCTTATCATCTCGAACTGAGACAAGAACTTTATCCAATGTTTAAAATTTTGTCTAAAGAAGAATTCATGCACTTTCCGTCGAAGTCCTTCTTTAAAATGATATTCTATTTGAAATTTTGGTTTCCCTGGAGCATTACGTGGCATTTGAAAACTACCACATTTTCTCTTCTTTAATAACTCTGTAAATCGTAGATTTCCCAATACCAAGTGTACTGCTAACTAACTCAACGGTCTCATCAACACTTTCACATAAACGTTTGTCTATAAATGATTTAAAACAATTAAATATTAATGTTTTTTCATTAACTGTTAAAGGACCAATTTTTCGGCGTTTACACGGCACTTCCAAATTTTCCATAACACTAGTATACACAATAAACTGCACCTTGCAACTGAAGTACCTACTTTTAGTGAACTGTTAAGAATTTTGAATACGCCACTTGGACCTTCCTACAAAATAGAAAAAACCCACTATCACATTTTCTGTGGAATAAGTTTAGAAGGTAATTATCTAGTCAATTACTGTCGTAGATTCCTGGAATTAAAGAATGAAATGTTTGATTGTTGAAACCCTTACTTCGTGGAATGCACTCATTTCAGATAAAATAAAACGTTTTATTTTATCTAAAGAATTAAACTTTATTTTGCAAATAGGTAGGTACTTATTAAACTTTTATTGGTTATATATAACCAATAAAATAAACATCTTACATTTCTTGCAAATTCATTAGTATCTGTTAACCTCCATCACTCCGACACTGGCAACCTTATTTAGGGATTAGTAACCCTCACAACTATTGTATTCTATTCTGCTCCAACCTTTATACCTAGTGGTCATACTCAATTTAAAATTGTTTTCCTATATACTTCTGTAAACTTGTTGACAAATATCTGTTTTTCATTGAGTCACCCGTATCAACAGTTTAGGGATTTGCATACATAATTTATTGTTTTATTACTCTCTTATACATAAAAATACATTATAATAAAAATAAGAATTTACCCATTAACAATTTTGTAAATAAGAATACCTTAATCACTTTTTGAGTGATTTTTTGACGTTTTTGAAAAACGTTTTTGACTAAAACAGTTTTGCTCTTTCTGTGTGTGGCCACTCACCATTCAACAAAAATCAGTAGCGACTACACTACAAATAAACCTTGCAAATAAGGAATTTTGGAATAGACTCTAATTGCAATTTTTTATTGCTCTATTATAAACAACAAAAATACTAATAGATAATTACAATATGTAAAGAAATTGGACATTTGTACGTAATTGTTTTTCACGACATTCACATTTAAAGCCACTTATGTGATTTATAGATAAAATAAATATAACCAATTGTCACCGCTTATTAATTCATATTAAGTATTTAATATTATGGATAAAGTTTTATTAAACCCACATTATAAGACAGCGCATATAAAAACCGCAACAGCTACTTTTGGTGTTTTACATACATAAAAACAATGCTTTGTAAAATATTTATATTTGCTTTGTTCGTTGCAGTGGTAATAGGAGAAGAAAGTGCAGAAGAAACTGGAGAAAAAACTGCCGAAGAAGCATGGCCAAAATACAAGGTAATATTCATTATTTTTATTATGATATGATTGGAAAATAATTTGGTTCTACTTTAATTATCTCGCATTATATACAGGGTGGTCCTTAAGTAATTGTACAAAAAGAAACCGTAGATTCTACACTTTAAAATATTACGATTTAAGCCAAATTGCTTTAATAAAATGTTAATATTAAGAAAGACACAGGGTGTTAAAATTTTTCCTATAACTTTCACGTTTGTGAATATTTATGTATAAAAAAATTCATAACTGGGTACTATTGAACATCAGGAATTATAATTTGATGCATACTTTAATGTAGCTGATAGAGGGCGCCACATATGCCACATATGTGGCATACATTTGCACTTAACTTCTTTGCTCGTTAAGTTACCGGTGTGTGTGATAAAAAATATTAAAGATACATTATTTAAAAAAAAGGTATACCTGTTAATAACTTCAAAACTCAACAGTTTTCGAGATAATCGCATTTTACAAATCAACTACATAATTATGATTTAACGCAATTACTCCAGGCAACGAAAGAAAATTAGGCAAAAACATCATTACTGTTGAATTTTGGTATAAAATGCCTTTAATAAAGTTAATAGTTAACGAAATATTAAATAAAATAAATATATCAGCAGGATATTTGCAATAGGATTTGACAAAATAAAAGAATAATTGGATTTTACAGGTTATTATATCAATAGTACTTTATTCCTTGTTGTTCATAACTTCTTTTATTTTTTCGTTAATTTCCTTCAGAAATTAGCTGGCGTCCATTTCAGTATTTTCCTAGGCATTTCCGTATATTCTCTTATCTTACCCCTTTTATAGTTCCAGATTTTCAGTTGCCTTATTATATTGTATTCTTTTGGTTAAAGATCTCTTTTTCCCATATCTCAAAGCCAAATTCTAGTGTAGTGAGGCTAGCCCGAATTCTTGCTTGAGGTTTTGTGTCTCTGTGTTCTTTTGAGCTAAGCCATTCTTTTTATAATAACTTCTTTGCCAGTTCTTCTCCAATTTATCATCATCTTCTCCATATACCCCCTAAATTTTATTTAGGTTTCAATTGGCTAACCTTGGGTATACGTTTCAATTGGCTTCTTCAAAAGAAGAAGAAGATTACTTAATTGGGTTTATAAATAAAATATTTTGATTATGACTTTAATTTAATACAAAACGTAAAATGTTTGGTGTAAAATCCAATTATTCTTTTATTTTGTCAAACATTTTACGTTTTGTATTAAATTAAAGTCATAATCAAAATATTTTATTTATAAACCCAATTAAGTAATCTTCTTCTTCTTCTTAGCCTTCTATCGTCCATGTTTGACATAGTCCTCTCCCAACTCCTTCCATCGGTCTCTATCTTGAGCAACATATTTCCAATTTGTTCCGGCTATTCTTTTAATGTCATCAACCCATCTCATCTGTGGTCTTCCTCTTAGTCGTTTACTTTCGTAAGGTCTCCAATGTTGTATTGTAGTATTCCAACGTTGGTCTTTTTATCTAGCAGTGTGGCCCGCGAAGTTCCATTTAAGTTGGGCAATTTTTGTTGTTATGTCCTCGACCTTTGATTTTGATCTTACTCAGTCGTTCATCTTTTTATCTGACAGTCGTATACCTAACATTGCTCTTTCCATTGTTCTTTCTGTTGTGGCTAGTTTATTCATGTTTGCCTTGGTTAGGGTCCAGGTTTGACATTCATATGTCATGATAGGAAGGATGCATTGGTTGAACACTTTGCTCCTCAAGTATTGGGGTATTTTGCGGTTCTCAAGTATTCAATTAAGTTTTCAAATTAAGCAATAGTTAAACTAAATAACATTAAACTTTTTGTCAAAGTAAGTGTTCGATATGTCCACCATTTTCTTTAATTCATTTGTCAATACAATCTAGAAAGATTGTCTCTTATTAAATAGGTTATAATCAGTATTATAAGTATAATATATAATAAATATAAAGTAATAATAAAGTATTTGTTTGCGATTTTCATGAATTAAATAATTATATTAATAACTCACCACATGACCAAGGAATGTGACTACCAAGAACAATCCAACGTTCAGGAAAGTTGTATTTAAGTACGTTCTCACTGCCCTCTCTCTATAATGTGGTGGTATACCATATTGCATAAACCACATATTTCGCCGTAAGTTTGATGACAATTTTTCCAATAAATCAATAAAATCATTCTATAAAAAATGTAAATAAATCTCACTGTTCAAATTACAAGGTAATTCGCATGTCCGTAAAAAATAGTTACAAAAATGGTACCAAACCATGCGATATGCGTTTTAAACATGAATTTTTATACATAAATATTCACAAACGTGAAAGTTGTAGCAAAAATTAAAATTTTGAATTTCTACTTAACACCCTGTATCTTTTAATATCAACATTTTATTAAAGCAATTTGGCTTAAATCGTAATATTTTAAAGTGTAGAATCTACGGTTTCTTTTTGTATAATTACTTAAGGACCAACTTGTATATGATACCTAGTGTGACAACTCCAATTCAGCTGAATTCGGAACAAGGCTAAAAAAAACCTGAAATCCGGGACTCTTCAATGAACATCGGGCCCTTTTTTTAATATTGAACTTTAATATCATCATTTTATTGATTATTTTACATTTTTATGATACAAATGATATTTTTAATGGGATTAAGCCACAATTGGTTGTATTGATAATTATATTTTTGTTATTTTCTCAAATTACAATATGCAAAGCATCTTCAGGTCTCGATACAAAGTTAAATAAATGCTGAAATAATAAATCCATATTAGGGTGTCGTTTAATAAAGATAAACAAAGATAGATGATATACATTACAGTAATTATACCAATATTACATGTCTGTGGTTTTTCAAAATGAATAAACAGTTTTAGCAGACAAGGTAAGACCCACAAATTGGTATAAAATAGTCTTTTAAATTGTTTACTACATCACTCCTTAACAATAAAGTTTATATAACCCATCTCCCTACATATGTCTATTTTTCCATTTTCTAGGTAGGTAACAAATGTTGCATAACATAAAGGACCTTTTGTTAAAATCTTTAGTTTACAGTCAATTAAGTTAGACTTATATATTGTTGGTTGCCTATCAATATCCACAAAATTTCACCGTACTTCAGGCCACCTACATTAATTTATAAAACAATTTTTTCAATGTTCTCAACATAAATTTAAGATAAATTCACATGACAAACTACAACATTGATGGTTGCTACTGTTATATTATTATAATTTTAACTTATTTAATTTTAAATATTGCTGCCTTCTGTCATATTTAGACAACTACCGTGAGTTACATTGACTGCTTTGTTTCGACTTCCGTCCTAACGTGTGAATATTGTCATTTTAATTAGTTGCTATCAATAAGTTTTCATAGACACTTTGTCTCAGGACCAAGTAACCTCATGTAGAGTCGTACGTTGTGATGTTGCCAATTCCACTGGTAACTTAAACATCTTAACTTTTAAGAACATATAATGTAACAAAAATTTAAACTAACAACATTTAATGGGTTTTTACCCAAATATGTATACCTACTTAGTAAATATTAATCACATTTTGCATTAACCTTAGTCAACATTTCAAATTTCACGTTCTTTTTAATTAAAGTGCTTATATACTTTCAGGTTACATTGATGATGGAATATACATTCCGAAAACGTGCTGTAATAATTGTGATATAGCTCGTTTGGGTATTTTATTATATACATTTTATAAAGGATTTTAAATAAACAAATTTGTGATACATGGTATACAGCCAGCTACAGGAACTTAGTTTCCTAGTTAATTTCTAATAATATTTCGAAGTAATTAAAGCAAAAAACTAGATCATATATGATTTACCCATGGACGTATAAACACAGATGGACTCAGTTATTTACATAAAATTGTGAAGTCAAATTTATTTGAATAGGTCACATTCTCAGCACCTTCAACTGTTGTCACGTTTTTTTATTAAAATTTCTTATTCGCGAGTCACTGAAAATATTACTCTGCTATTTTATACTCTACAGGTGCTATCAAACCAAAATAATAATTTGTTGTTATATTAATATATTTAATTGTAATCCAAATATCAAGTGTGCACATATCGTGCATTATCATTTAATAATAGCGTATAATAGATATCAATCAACTATTTTATATGTAGAAGCACTGAAAACTATTTATAAATGGCAACGTGTGTTTACATTTCTCTGTCTTATGGCCTACGTCAAACTTCAAATGCATGTTTGTTTACTTTTTACAGTAGATGAGGAAAAGTTGTTTTTCGATATTTTGGCTGTATTTTGAGTGATATTTGTGAAAAGTGAAATAAACATATTATAATAATGGTGCTACAGTGTTGCATTTGCAAAAAAAAACGAAATATTTACATCCCGATCTCTTATTTCATTTGTAAGTACTGTCTGTTTACCTTATTAAGATGAGGAACTGGCGTACCATTGGGTTTACTCATGTTCATTAATGTATTAAAAATAAGATATGAGTTTATGAAATTAGTAGACATTTTTAAATCGTAAGTAGATATCATCTGATTAAAAAATATTTGTTTAGTACCTTTTTACTTTAATCTTTTCATGGATACAAATAAATTCGAGAAATGAATAAAACTATTTTTCTATGTAGGTTTTCAAATAATATTGACGATCGAACTATTTGGGTAGCAAATTTAGGAGAAAACATAAAGATTTTTTATTGTAGCATTATTTTGATACCTATTAAAAGATTAAGTTGAATTCAACTATATTCGATTGTATTAATTTTAAAGCAAATAAATTTTAAATTTTTCTATAAAGACGTGATTTGTTAATAGTCAAACTCTCTTTTTTTTTAATTCTTCGAACGTGTTTTTATACATTATTACTACTTTTAATTTTTAAAGTCTGAATAATATTCCCCGCGAGTAAAAATTCAAGCACGCTTATGCTCATTAAGGAAGCATCACATTCTATTGAAGCTTCAAAACATTGTGTGTTAAAGGTATCTTATCG